ATCAATAAATCAATAAATAAATAAATAAATAAATCATCAGATATATGGCCTACATATTGTAATGAAGGGAAGTGTTCAGAAATCGTATTTGATAAAATTCCAAAGAACGTACGCACAACACGGGGAAGTTGTCTGGTCACTAAAACATTCGTATTCACAAACACACACAAACGTTGGCTCGCGATGTGCAACATTCGGGGAAGGCTGGCGGTTGTCGACGAGAGTTTGCGCTGTCTCGACGAATCTATGGAGGCAGTTGCTGCAAGTGTGCGTGATGTCGATGCCGCTCTCGATCGACTGCGAAACGCAGACACCTGTGAAAAAAATGACGAAAAAAAAAAAAGCGAGATCCCTTGCTCTCGTCGTCCGGTTTCATGGAGCGCACACGAGCTAATAGGCCGAACTGCAAAGGGATAATGATATACGACCATGAGTACGGGGAGGGTTTGTCACACAATGCGAACAGCGGGCGGAAAGACAAAGAAAGAGAGTCACCAAAGGATACGGAAAAAAACAAAACACAAAATTGCAGTACATCTGGAAAGCCACCACAACCCAAATGCATTTGGAATTGCAGGAAGAAAAAAGACAGAGAGTTGCTAAAGGGACATGAATGTTTCGAGTGCAAACGTTTTCGTGATGCGGTTGGTGTGTACGGAAAAGAACGACATGAAATTGTGCAAGAATGTTCACGACACAAGGAGAACCAATGTAGACCGTTGACACCACCTGGTTTTTGGAACATAGGCTTCTCTAATTCGGAAAAGTAGGATGCTAGAGAGAGAGAGAGAGAGAGAGAGAGAGAGAGAGAGAGAGAGAGAGAGAGAGAGAGAGAGAGAGATGTAACGCATAACATTGTGTCACGTGCTGTATTTCATTCTTGCAGCCAGTACAAGGTCTCCCCCCGATGTCGTTATTATACGAGTTAATTGTGTGCGCAAATGTCGAAAGACAAACTACTGAGCGACGTAAGACTCGCAATTAAAGATGTGGTCAACACTCTTGAAGTGGCTACGAAACGCTTGCATGCAGCCGAGGAAGTCCTTCAGAGCACGACTGCTGATTTGCATGCTATGCGACAAGAAATCGACTTGCACGAACGACGTGTGAATGCTAGGGAAAATGAACTTCAGCATTACAGAACACAAGCAGCTCATGCAAATCAGCCATGTGCTGATGGTTCTCATATGAACAAGATGATGTCTGGCACAGGGACTGTGAGGTGCGACAGTGAGGGTCGTTGCCTAGCATGTGGTCGCTACCCAACTGGGAGCACAACAATAGCTCCCCCGTTTTCGGGAACCTTATGTCTGAGGAATGTTCCATCGCCCAGCACATCAATCCGATCAGTGAACTCAAAAAGAAAATTGTCATTCACAAACATATGAGGTCGCATTTGGGACCGGGAGAATGTGCAATATATGCGGGGTTCGTTTATTCGCAAAGTGATATGTTTCACACACGTCAGTACGTCTCTCTCTCTCTCTCTCTCTCTCTCTCTATATATATATATATATATATATATATATATATATATATATATATATATCTTTTGGTTGAATAAAAAAACAAAAAACAAAATCCAG